ATTGAATTCTTCCGCTTGATGTTTCCTATCAAGAGGGGAAGAGGCTCAGTGGTGGAACATCTCCTTCGCATGCAGAAGGTCTCAGGCTCAGTTTCCAGCATCTCCAGAAAGAGTTGGGAATGTCTCCAGTCTGTAGTGCTACTGCCCGCCAGTGTAGGCAGAACTGAGCTTCCTATGACCCATTTCTCAGGATATTCTTAATTCTACAACACTTTCCTCTTCTAAGTCTCGGAGTTTCCTAGACCGTTATATTTCGGCTTTGCATTTCAGCTCCACAAGAGGGAGTCTGATCTCATGAAACAAACACAGCTTGGCCAGGGGACCAGCTAATTGGTTCCCGTTGTGTTCTACGATACATTATGATATGAAATAGTCGAGGAATGAAACAAAATGAACATCCTTTTGGGACACGTGTCTGTGCTCTGCAAGGATGTGTGAAAGAGCATCAGCCTCCAAATAGGTATCTTTCTTTGCAGCTCGTTTCTGTTTCTTAAAATGTATCTCTTTCATAGGAGCCAACTCCTTGGGGTCCCTTTGCCTCCCCCATAAAAATTTGAGGGGGTGAGCCTCCCCCAGGTGATGGGCATTGCCATTTAAATGGTGTGGGTGTGCCCCATCATGTGATCGATTATGTGGGTCGGGGCTTACCTGCCTCCCCCCATATTTTATTCAAGTTGGCACCCCCATCATTCCTAACCATTGACCAAGTTGGCTGCAGTGAATGGGATTTGGAGTCCAATGGAAGGCTGGGAATGTAGAGGCTGCCTGAGAGCAAGGTGGCCCACTCTTCCCCTTAACTGTGTTCCAACCTATGAGAGCCAGTGTGGTGTAGTGGTTAAGAGCGGTGGACTCGTAATCTGGTGAACCGGGTTCGCATCCCCGCTCCTCCACATGCAGCTGCTGGGTGACCTTGGACTAGTCACACTTCTCTGAAGCCTCTCAACCTCACTCACCTCACAGAGTGTTTGTTGTGGGGGAGGAAGGGAAAGGAGAATGTTAGCCGCTTTGAGACTCCTTAGGGTAATGATAAAGCGGGATATCAAATCCAAACTCCTCCTTTTCCTCTTCCTCCTCCTCCTCCTCCTCCTCCTCTTCTCCTTCTCCTTCTTCTTTGACATCAGGAGAGGGACTTAGGGGTTGCACAGCTCAGTGATGTATGAGGACCAGAGGAAGCCTTCAGGTCCCCCCTTCTGTTGCAATTCATCCCAGAATCCTTTGCAGCAGAACCTAGGATGCCATCGTTAGATGGGGAAGCCTCCTCTCTCTCTCTCTCTCTCTCTCCTCCCTTCACTACCTGAAGGCTCAGGCAGCTCACACCTCATGAAGGGCCCGCCTGACAGGGAACACACAGTCTCCGCTGCCTCCCTCCCGCTCCCCCCAGCTTCTGCCTTCCCCCTCTGCGTCTCCATCCTTGGGAACCAGCTGCAGCGTGTAGGATGGAAACGACCCTGTCACAGCTGTCTCCCGTGTGTTATTGTTAGCGTTACATTACAAATCCCGTTTCCATACCGAGGTCTCGTGAGGGTCATAAACAGGAGAGGTCACGGCCCTGCCAATAAACAGAACCCCGATCCCGAGCACGACTCCAGCCCTGCACGTTTACATGCTGACATGACTGGAGGGCTGCCTCTTCTCCGCGGCCTCCCCATTGAGAACCAAGAGCTTGGAGATGGCGCTCGCTCCTCAGGCCCCCGGATCCCTGGCCAAGGCATCAGGGGCCTGTTTCATGCCATCATTTCTGACTAAGGAGGCTCAAAGGTTTCGCTTGGTCCACATTTTTGAGCTAACTTCAACGTGTCCGGAATGGAAATCAGACCAGCAAACCAAATTGGCATTTGCTGCTGCTGCTGTTTTCAGTCCACAAATAATTGATGGAACCCACCCCCCATTGGCACTGTAATAATAATAATTTATAATAATAATAATTTATTATTTATACCCCACCCATCTGGCCGGGCCTCCCCAGCCACTCTTTGTGTTTCCTTTGCAATGAATAGGGTGGGATAATGTAATACAGTGGTACCTCGGGTTAAGAACTTAATTCGTTCTGGAGGTCCATTCTTAACCTGAAACTGTTCTTAACCTGAAAACCACTTTAGCTAATGGGGCCTCCTGCTGTTGCCATGCGATATCTGTTCTCATCCTGAAGCAAAGTTCTTAACTTGAGGTACTATTTCTGGGTTAGCGGAGTCTGTAATCTGAAGCGTCTGTAGCCTGAAGTGTCTGTAACCCAAGGTACCACTGTAATTATAATAGACTCCTAAAATCCCAGAGCTGGAAGGGACCACGAGGGTCACTTGGTCCAACTCCTTGCAATGCTGGAATCTTTTTGCCCAACGTGGGGCTTGAACCCATGACCCTCAGATTAAGAGTCTCATGCTGTACCAACTGCACTATCCCACAGGCCCCAATGGACAGGGAGAGATTGCAGGACTACCAGCCCCAGCCAGCGTGACCAATAGTCAGGGATGGTGGGAGCTGGAGCTCAGCAACATTTGCAAGGCTGCCTGGGTTCTGCGCCCCTGCCTTAACGACTCCACAAGAGCTGCTTATGAATCGTTGTGGCTTGAAATGAAAAGTTTACCCCTAATTCAGGTCCGTGAGGTTGTCTCTCCATGATGAGGATGGCTGCACCCCACTCTAAAGGCCTGACAGGGAAGGGAGTAGTTGGGGGACAGGTGAATTTGCTTCTTTTGTTTTGGTAAGAACATTTGTAAGAACTCGATTTTTCAGCGAGGCAGCACTACACTTTGGATCTCTCTGCCTATTGATATCAGGCAGCTGCTTTCACTGTATTGTTTTTGGAGCCTGCTAAAAACATTTTTGTTTAGACGAGCCTACTCAGGTGTTTAGAAGGTTGATGGGAGCTTTAATCTGTCCTTAGTCTGTTGCTATTTTTTACTTTTTGATAGTCTTAAGTTTTGTTGCTAATTTTTCTCAAGGGTGATTTTATTGTTTTATCTTTTTTTTGCAAACCTATGTTTGTTTTTTTAACAAACAAATAATAATAAATGCAGAAATCGCACAATAGCAACACATGCAGTTGGGTGCCAAATTCTTCACTACTATGTGCTAGTTTGTAGCAGTTGATTCTGTAAGTGGATGGGGAATTTTTTTTTGGGGGGGGGATGAAAAAATTATTTATTGAAATTCATTAATGTCATTACAGATTTAACTTCACACATACACATACATTATA